GGGGCGGGGGCAGGGGCGTCGGCGGCTTACATGGGGGGTGCCGAGGCACGCATGCGGCCGCACCCGGAAGCTGGGTGCGCGTGCTGCGCCGCGCTGCGGGTGAGGGAGTTGAGATTGTGTGTCGGTTGCGTGCGGCGTCGCACCTTGTCAAGCTCGTACTTGACCTTGGAGCCGCGCGGGATTTCGATCACCGCGTGCACAACATCGGGCGCGTCGACGCCGGGCGACAGGTCGTGCCACGGGTGCGACGCGGTGCCGCGGTAGAAGCTCATGGCTGCCGCTGCTGTGCTGCTGTTGCTGTTGCTGCTTTGAGGCTGGGTCGAAGCTGGCCGGCCTGCGTGCGAGAAAGGGGTGCCGGCGGCACACAGGACTCATCGGCAGCGCATGGTGGCGCACACCAGTTTGGGCGGTCAGCGCCAAGCCTTCCGTCCCTAGATAATTAGACCTCCAAATGCAGCCAATCTGCATGCTGGTCTCCGCGCATAAGCGCTCCACGACGATGGGCGCAGTCCGATCGCCCTTGCTTCTGGCCTCCTGGGAGACCACAGGCTTTGAGGATACTATAACATCCCCTAGAGTTTGATCCATGCGCAGCTGGCATCTACCATGTCCACTGAGGCGCTCGGACGGTTGTGGCCGCACCTTGACACGAACTGGGGCCGCTAGAAGTTCAGCGAGGCTTACAAGTCTGATCGCGATAATATCTTATTCGAAATTGGGTCACAAGGGCGCGGCACGAGACTTGCAGACTTGAAGATGCCTCGCAGTGCAGCAGCTGCATCGTTCCGCTTCGGGCCAATGGAAATTCTCAAGGCAAGGTCCTGGTCTACGCTCTCGCATCGCATGGCAACACCTGACCATGACGCAGATTTTTCTTGCTCACGTACGGCTCACAGTACATCGTGTCGATTACCCAGATCATTTGAGTCACTGCTCATCAAATCAGCTTGTGTAGACCGCGCGCCTGGCGTAGACTATTATTGACAACCTTTGAAATTTATATCTCATTGCCTGGTGGTGACTGGATCGATGGAGCTGGGCCCCAGCGAACTCGGCCCCACCGGGGGCCCCCACTTGGAGCTGGGGAAGGACAAGCTGACGGTCAGATACACGGGAGATGGAAGACACGACGTGGGGGCCATACAGGTGCGCGTCGAGCCATAGAGCAGGCGCGATGGTGTCGCCGCCACCCGGACGAGCGCATGCACACTCCACTGCGCCAACGCTTGCTCGCTTCCCGCACTCCTGCAAGCCGTAAACAGTGCATGCCCTTTGCGAAATTCGCCCACCGCCCACTGCTGGCCCCTCCGTTGCCCCGCACTCCTCACCTCGCGTGCCGCACGCGCCTGCCCCCTCGCCAAACCACCCTCCCACATCCCCCAACCGCCCGCCCCCGCCCCGGCGAGCCGCAGGCCAACCGCCCCGTGCCCGCGCGGCAGCTGCTGTTTTACTTTGAGGTGACGGTACTAGACCAGGGAGAGCTCGGCAAAATCGGCGTCGGCTTCACACCGCGAGACGCCAAACTCACGCGGCAGCCGGGGTGAGCCCGCGGCGGCGGCGCGCCCCCCGACCCCCGGGCCCCTCGCCGCACGCATGACGCGGCGCCCGCCGCCGGGACGCACGCCGACCGGCACGCGGCGTCGACGGCAGCGCACGCATGTGTCTCCCCCCCCGGCAGCTGCGTGCTACCCAGACAACACGCGCGAGCGGCTGCGCGCGTGGTACACACAGCTGCTGGTCGCTCGGTCCTGCGGGCCCACCTCTCAGCTCCCTGCGACAGCCCCCTATTGGCCGCTGCCACCAACCCCCGCCGCCCCCCCAACCTGGCGCCTCCACCACCGGCCGCTCGCCCCCCTTATCCAATGTACTGCACAGCTGGGAGCCGGGCAGCTATGGATACCACGGGGACGACGGCCTGCGCTACGCGGCCAGCGGGAAGGGCGACGAGTACGGGCCGCGCTTTGGCGCCGGCGACACAATCGGCGCGGCGCTGCACCTCGGGCGCGGAGAGATATTTTTCACGTGAGGGCGCAGCGCGCGGCGCCCCCTTGGCGCCTTGCGCAGGCGGCGCGCCGCCTGGCAGAGTCTTTGTTGTTTTGTTTTGGCGCGTCGGGCCTGTGAGGGCCGCCTGAGGCCCCCCTGGGGGGGGACCGTGAGAGCACGCCCCAAGCAACGACGTGGCGGCGGCGGGGCTGCGAACGGGGCCGCGCCACCGGGCCTGCTGCAAAGGGTGCGCGACGGCGCTTGCCCCCAGCGACACACCATCCCTGCAAAGCCGGCCCGCCCAACCTCACATACCCTCCCCCCCCCCTCCCCGCCCGCGCCTCCACGCAGCAAGAACGGCAACAGGCTTCGCACTGCGTTCAGCGGCGTGCGCAACCCGGGGCAGCTGTACCCGACCATCGGCCTCCACAGCCGCAACGAGTCTGTGGCGGTCAACTTTGGGGCGCGGCCGTTCCGATTTGACCTGGAGAGCGTGCTGGCCGAGGAGGCGGCGCAGGAGGCAGCGGCAGTGCGCAGGCAAGGGGCTGTGGGTAGCCGCGGCCGCGGCCGCGCCGTGCTTTCACGCGCGCGCTCGCATCATCTCTCAATTCGCTGTTTGTTTTCGTAGCTGCGGGGAGCGCGACCTGCAGGGGCGCCGCCTCCCCGGCGCCAGCTCGTCCAGCTTCCCCTGCTTGTGTGGCCAGAATCCCACGAGCGCGCGCCGCAGCGTCCTCATCCTCGTGCTCTTGCATCCCTCCCGCCCCCCTCTCCCATCGTCCCGTGCTCGTACCCGCCCCGCCCCTGCCTCTCCGCCTCGTACCCCCCTCCTCCCACCTTTCAGCATCCCCGTGGCCCCCAGCGTGACCCACGAGGTCGTCCACGCCTACCTGCTGCACTACGGCTACGCGGAAACGCTCGCCGCCTTTGACGCCGCCGCGGGGCTGGCGGGTGTGGAGCAGCCGATGAGG